AGAGGATGAAATTTCTCAAATACAGTGTCGAATATGGTCGTTTCAACCATTCTTTTTCTACAGTGTAGCTATAGCAATGCCGGATTTGGTAAGTTTTCGCTCTTGTTTTCTGTTCTCTTTTTGTTTTGGAAATTTTCTGTCTGCGTACAGGTGTTACAAGCAGTGGGCCGGGGCAGTGAAGTGATTTCAAATAGAATAACAATTGCTCTCGAAGCTTCATTAGGGCAAATTTTTGATTCACCACAAGATTGAAACAAAAACATCACGAGACCAGTTTGGAATTTTATTCACCGCTAGGATTCTATATAACAATTAAGGTTAATGACATTTTTCAAAGGAGGAAAGAAAAAAAGAAAAATTGATTTGTTCTCTTCGTGTTCCGCTTGTTCTGGGAAGAAAGTGAAATTGTACGAGCAGGCATACTTACAAATGGAAATATAGATGCGATAACAGCCAAAGGGTTTATAGGAAGAGTATATTTTTATGTTTTGAAAGATGTGGACCTTTAATCCGGCGAGTGAATGGAATGTACATCAAAAAGTGCTCTTGATTTAATTCAACGCCTCCAGAACAATCAAGTATGCAACGTCATCAGTTGCTTGCCTGGGCAAGCCCAAGCCTTTTGCTCTTAATTGATTGATTCCTTCGCATAGGTTACAGTAGTATTGCAGTTTTCGGAAAAGTTTTGAAGTGGATCAGTTATATGAAGATTCAGTCTGCCCGGCGCAGGAAGCTTCTGGTAGAATTTATAACTTCGACTTAGTAAAGTTAGTTGTTGTGACTGCCAGAGGCTTTCAGACATAACGATCATCATTGATTTCTGAATATTTGGTGAGACCGCACGTAGGAAAGAAAAATATGATGGCGTAAAATCCTTGAAAAGATGATTGAAAATAAAAAGATTTGTGTGTAGATTTCGGCGCTCGTAACACGTGAGAAATGTCTATGGCTTTGTTTACATCACTGCGTCTTCTTCTACTACTAAGATAATCACACAATCGCCTGTTTTATGGTAAGACCATTGCATTTTTGTTTATTTATTTCGTACCCGAACGACAATACCGGTGACTTCATTAGAAAGTAATGATATAATTTGGCCCCCAGATGTTATTTTCAGTTTTCGTTTAATTAACGCATTGATTGTTTCAGCATCGTTTAAGACTTCTAATTCAAGACCTTGGTTACCTACGTGACCGGAAAAAAGGATTCAACTTCTTACAGCTCGTTTGAGGTGACGATTCAGTAGTTTTCCATTGCAAAGAAACTAAAACAGCGCTTGCTTGGCGATGAAAATAACTTCGGAAAATTTTAAGGGGAGGAGTAAAGGGGAGGAATGCGAAGTTTCAGATTGCATAGTAATTACCTGCTGAGTCAGCTACAAGCGACTCTGCTTTTGCAACTGAGAGCTGTGGGCTTATTCTCAAAGACAGCACTAGTTTTTGCAGTCTCGTATCATTACAAAGCAATTCCCTCTATGTGCACTACAGTCAGGATGCACAGAATTTAAGCAGTGGCGGGTATCTTCGTTTGATTCAGATAGCAGATCTTTCTTGCTAACAGCATTGGAAGCATACACACGCAAGTACGTTCGAGTTGCACATATTTTGCAATTCGTTGTCTGCACTGAACGAAAAGCAAAAGACGATGAATAGAGTACAAATAAGAATAATTCACTTACCCACAGTATGCACCAGCTCGAGACCAGCTGGACGCTTTTCTGGTGAGTTGAGTTTAGTCTGGTCCACACACTGAACACTGTAAATTGCAAGTGAGAGAAAAAAATGTGTTAAGCTCTTAACAACGATAAAATGTAGCACTAAAATATGTAGGTCACATGTACAGGTATTTTCCCCTCCATGACTTTGGGATAAAGGGGATTTTATTGTGTACATAAATCTGTTCACAACTAATTTGGAAGCCTAGTTTGTCCAAGTTTGACACTCTTGCACAAAGTCAGACTTATCTTGCACAGGAAAATCCACACATTTTAAACAAAAAATATCAAACTCTTTGTATGCTGAAATTGGCTTATTTTACTGTATTCATCTCTCCGCTGATCCAAAGTTGTAGATGACGATAAAACCTAATTTTCATTTGTAGAATATTGTTTATCTACAGTCATCGATAATTTGGTATGGGAAATTTACTGAATTTCGTGGGTTACATATTTGGTCGATGAGAGAGTAAAATTTGCGTGGGTGTGCCGGCACCCCAGTTATTCTAGAATAAGAATTTAACCACCTTTCCGCTCAACCAGTTCTAGTTCAGGTATAATTTTTTACATGATGTCTGTGCTGTTAAAGAAACGGTTTGGTAAAAAACGATGTAACTGTGAGTTACCAGCAGAGGTTTCGATTTTGTCCCAAGTTTCAGAAATCGCGAGTTATATCCGAAGATAACATAAAGAAAAAAACATCGATGTTGGTTTCCTTTCGTCAAATATCAAATCTATGCGTAACTGTCCTTTATTATTGGTAAAAATATTCAAATATGAGTCATAATATTTAGTTATTCCACAAGAAGTTCGAAATCATATCTTTGAAATCCACAGCTTTTCTTTTTCACTGGATGGGTTGTGCAAGCTAAGAATATAAAACTGAAAACACATTTTGTGGGAAATACCATCTCAGTATCACGACATTCGTTAATATATGATTCATAACATTTTGTCATTTTTAATCAAAAATATAAATGACAAAAAGATATTAACAGAATAGAAAACAGAAAGGATAAAAAAATGATAATGACAATAATAATAATAATAATAATAATAATAATAATGATAATGATAACAAGTAATAACAATAGAATAAATTGACCAAAACGCTGCAAATTGTTTTCATTATTTTTTATGAATCAGAGAGGTTATTTGTTTCATTTTTAGGCAAGTTTCTTTTGGACGGTTATACAATTCATCGCTGAACATAAGGGATATTAGCTCTATCCATTCAGGTGTGTTAATTTCTTTTTCCTTAAACTGAAACGTTTACCTGTATCAAGACGATTATTTTGGGGGTAACTATCGAAATTTTATTTTATCGGAGAAAATTTTCATAATTAGCAAGAGACTATAGAGGAAAAACCAAAACAAAACTGACAAAGAGATAAACTTGAGAGTGACCTTCCAACCCTTCAAAAAAACACACCTTCGAATTGTGTTCTTAATTCAAAAATATTAGGAAAAGTCTTTTTAGCCTCGTGGCAAATTGTGAACTCGTGAATTGCTTTAAGCAAAGATAAAGTGAAATAATGGGAAGTTATTATAATGTTCCAGACAACTGAGATGATATCTATGCTGAAAGAACATAATTTACTTAGCCTTTCTGACATCCAGACGTTATTGACGTTTAACAATTTAACGACGAAATTTTCCAATGCTTATTCTAGGAGGACTGATTCCAAATCACTTTGAACGTGTCTCGTTTCACAGTCGTAAAACGAGAGACGCGAGAATGGTACCTGAATGTTTGTTGAGCTTTCCAAGCAGAAACACAAAACAGAACAAAAAAATACATATTTCGAATTTTTTTTGTGTGTGTGAATCCATTGACATGTATCGGAAATAATGCATGTCAAATAATAATGATTAAAAAAGTGCCCCTCACATACGTCTCCAAATGCAGTTACTTCCTATTAGTTATAACATCATCATAGGTTGACACGTTCATGTTAACGTTTTGGTAATTTTTAATAATTTTTTTGCCTGGTATATCCCTCTGAAACGCTGAAGGGAAAGTATACACCCTGCTTGTTTCGATGCTCTTAATAATGTACAGCATTCTGGATTTTGCCTTGTAGCGACGAAATTTCGAGAATTTCGTCAAATAAATTGAAGGTGAGGTAAATGCAGGCGAAATTCTAGAACTAGCCACGTAAGAGTCCAATAAACACTGGGTGAGAATTTGTAATGCTTGCAGGAGTTTACTGATCGTAAGAATGGCATGATATATACCGTCCAGAAATTATTAGGCGTCATGGGTTAAAGGAGAGTTAACTTCAAGACAAATCTGTAGCGTTTTTGAGCAACACTGGCCAACCAACGGTAAATAAAACTGCTTTTGGTGTGTTTCGACGTCACAAAACACACAACTAGAGAAGTTGTGTTTCTAATCGGTGGTACTGGTCGAAAGGGAGGAGATCGAGGGTCTCAGCCCGGGTTCTTATATTCCCTATTTTCAGTTGGTCGAGCCATTCTAACTAAATTAAATACATCAGTAACAACTATTTTTCAAATTAGCGCTTTTTCTAGGCTCACCTTTGAGTGTAAAGGACTTCTAAGAGAATTTTGCGTGAGATCATGGAACGGCTGAATTCGAACAACTGAATTGTTTGGGTCGTTTGTTATTAAAAATATAATAATGTCTGTCTGTTGACGTCCATGAGAGAATTATATTTGGGGATTCCCCGGTATGATTATTATCTTCCTAGGCAACTGCATGTATTCGTCTCATGATCGAACTTGCTATTTTCAAAAGACGGAAAATAGAATTGCAGTGGTTCCAATGTTCGCACTCTATAGAAAAATATTACCAAACGATGAGACAATACGCGATCTTTTCAAATCTAAAATTATTCTCATCATTGCGATCAATTTTAATTTACACTTTGGCTTGACGAACTTCTGCCAATATATTTTTAAAGGCAAACTTAAGTATCCCAGGTTAAAAATTACAAAAAATCGAGTCGTCGACCTGACAACCACTTACGATATTTCTGGCCCTTCTCTGGTGACGTTGATGATGATTCTTTTTTTGGCTTCAGCTAATGTCCTCGATAAACATTGTATACATTTTTATACCGAATGCATTTTCTCCGAGGCTTGGGGGAATAAAACGAAAGAAACTAATTTTTCATCTCTAAACCTCGATGTGATTTCATTTCTTTATTTCCCCAAGCCTCAGAGCCAACTTAGAATTTTGTGTTTTAATTTTGGTGGTCCAGTTGAAAAATATCCCATGTTATTGTATCGACGTAGACAAAATGTCAACAACGCCATCGGGAGATTCTGCTCTGTTGTTATCAACAGGGCATAGAGATTTAAGAGAATTATCCCTTTATGTGTGATGGGTGGAACGGTTGGCTTTCAAGTCCGTTTGAAGGTCACAATTTGTTGAATTACTTCTTTTTATTTTTTTTCCCTATTTAGTATAAATCAATAAGGAAAAACTGTACCGTCTCCAGAACGACGAGCTTATGTGTGCGTAAGATACTTCTCAGCGACTTTCCGTAACCACTTGATCGTTAACAAGTGATGACGTCATTACTAACACTTATGCTGCCTCATTCACTGATCCGAACAGTATGCCGCCAAAATGACGTCAAAATGGGGTAAGAACGAAAATTTGGCTCGAGGCGCAGCCAGTGTTAATAATATTCTGACCACATTTGAACGTCATCTATGAACTATTATTGAACAGATAGACGACAATGTTACGAACAGTCACGGGTATTTCAATCGATTTCGTTTTTAACTTTTAGTCTCTTGTTTGCGGGTTTGTTTGTACAGGACATGCCTTGATTTTGACTTGATTTTAATTTACCGGTTTTGCATCAAATTACTTGTAAACAGGTTATGACGTTTTGAGACCAGCAGATAGGAAAAAAGGTTCAATCGACGATACGAGTGTGGTTCTTTTACGACTTTAAGACAGATAACATGGAATCTAATTGTTAATTAACACCAGGAAATCTTTTGTTTGCTATCTTAAGACCAGTAGTAAGTACAGAGGCTTAGGAATAGAAATCGCTTAAATGTGGAAGACGAAGACAGTAACAATCTCAATAGTGGTGGGTACTCTTGGAGTAAATATTAGGAAAGGCACCGAGAAACAGTTCGGTGTCATTAATCAAATTGCAGGA